AGCTGTTCGTATCAGTACGGCTTGTGTAACATAAACAAACAAAATGTTAAATTTAAACACTTCCATTACTTGGAAATTAGTGAAATGTTTGGAGATGGCGAAACACGGAAGGCCTGATGACGTCAAAAATGTTGCTGCGTGACGTCATTCAGGCGTGTTTACAACACTGTTTATTTATAGGCATTTCAGTCAAATGTTCTTCTGTACTGACTGGTGCTCATCGGCATTTTGATAGATGTATATTGAAGCCCTTACGAATTTTCCTGCATAAACGTTAGGCCTAAGTAATGGTTATGGTTATGGTTCGTTGCCAAAATAATCCTTCATCCACGATAAGATTATTAGTACAATATTCTATAAAACAAGCACCTTTGTATAAGAGTGTCCCTTGTGCCAGCATCCCCGTCAAAGCCAACACGATAACAGTAATCCACTGTTGATAGGATTTCCTTTAAAAAACAGGTCCTGGCGTCGTCAGCCATGATAAAGTACTGTATGTTACTCCAAATTTGATTGGTCCATTCATTTATGACACTTTAACACGTTAAAAAAATAAGTACAACATTTAACGCGTTTAACTTGGGAAGTGTTTTATCGCGTTCAAATAGTTTTGATTATTTAACGCGTTAAAAGTATATATTTAACGTGATATCATTTAACGCGTTAAAACTATTTTTAACGCGTTAAATGCTAACGCGTTAGTTTATCTCGTTTTTGACATGAACGGCCTTTCATACAAGTCGTACTGATATGAACAGCTCCAAATGTGTGTGTGTGTGTGTCAGTATATTTGTTTTATTTTGATATCTTTGAAAATAACTATATAACAATATTCTATAGTTTGCTACAATTAAGAAGCTGTCTGCCACTTTAAAATAATTATTATGTATTGTTTTCCATTCCGTCTTTGCGTATTGCAGAGTTATCTTCTCTTGTGAGCAGGTATTGACTGTTACGTCATTGGTTTGTGAGAGTAACGTCATCAATTTTTGAGAAAACGACGTAATTTTCTCACACAAACCAGGGAGCACTACACATCCCTGCACAAACCAATGGCGTAACAATCAATACCTGCTCCCAAGAGAAGATAACTCTGCAATACGCAAAGACGGAATATAGGAAATACAAGTTTACTGATTTTAAAATTATCGAATATGATACACACATATCCTATTCTGTGCTATCTGAACCGTTACCGGATTGATTTTCTTCATTTTTTATTATTTTTCTTCCATTTTTAAAGGACCCCATTGGAAATAATTAAGCCACTTTGTGGCTTTTATGGGTAATCCTAGGTAAATGGCAATCACCACCACTCCTATTATGCAATCTATTTATTTATAAATACCTTCATTTACTAAAATAGTCTGCCTCATTTTGTCTCATTTTATAATAAATCTGCCTTTTTTTACAGTGTATCAGACTTTTTTAGATTTTTATACTCTGTGATATATGTCAATGATTGAATTAAAAAACCTTTTATTAGGTCAGATCTATTATTATTCTCAGTCTTAATACAAAATACTCTTTTTTTATTTACAAGCTGCAATGTGATTTTATTATATATTTTATTCTAAATTGTGATATCTTGTAATAACATGCCTATTTTACCTGAATAAAAATTATTATTATTATTAACAGTGATTAACATTGAAATACACGGCTTTTCTTAGTTGTAATAGTTAATTTTCAGCTAAGATGATGTCAATTTACATGATACGCAATAAAGACTCAGATCTGTACAAATATAAACGTCCAAATCGCTGCCCAATATCATATTTTTCATCGGGCCCAGATGAGAGGGTCCAGGGCTTTCAACTAATGTGCTTACCTTTTCATGTAAAAATCAGTCTTTGTTAATTCTCGGTCTCTGTAAAGCAGTACCCCCAGGCCGACAACAAATTCTTTTCTAGATGGTATTTTGATTTAAGTGTTGTACGATGGTTGAATTTTAGACGCAAACAATACTTTTGAAAAGATACTCGGGTTGATTGTATTCTAAATACGCATTGCATGAAAATGGAAAATTAATTATCAAATCTTTCCGAGCATCATTTCCATAAACAAGCATTGGCTCTTCAGTACATTGTATGTACCAAAGTACACTTGTAGAAAAACAATTTACTTGCATTGACAGCTCAGTCGACCATTTACTTCAATTAGCATTGAGATATGGGTTTTGTCAATGTGTATGTAATTAATTTAAACTAAATAACTACCAACGGGCCTCAGATTAATGAGTTTATTAGTTGATGAGATGTCCGTCGCACAGACCAGTTTTTTAAGATTCGTTGTGTATCATAACTGTTTTGATTAATAATATAACTTTTCCCTTCGTATACCTCTTCATGTCAAAATATTTAAAGGCTTTAACTGTGTCGAAGACTATGGTGACGTTATTTACGTAACATCTTATGTAATATCACGACTCATAGCATTTTCGTCATAGGGTGGCGAATTTGGGTGCATGGCGAATTTGCCTGCACTAACATTTATACATTTTAAATATATTTTATTCTGATGAGCCCAATAGTAGGCCTGTTATAGGCCTAAAACAAAAAATATGCTGAGCTGAGATTTATTTTGAAATGAAGAGATTGTCTGCTTGTCTTTCTTGATAACAAAACAAGAGGCCCAATGGGCCTGAATCGCTCATCTGGTATTAATCTCACATAAATAATCTTAAAAGTGGTCTTGTGTTATATGTTATAGTAATGAATTTTGCATTGTGTTATATGTTATGGTAATGAACCCTGCACTGTATTATATATTATGGTAATGAACCCTGTACTGTGTTATATGTTATGGAATAATCTTAAAAGTGGTCTTGTGTTATATGTTATAGTAATGAATTTTGCATTGTGTTATATGTTATGTAATGAACCCTGCACTGTATTATATGTTATAGTAATGAATTTTGCATGTTGTATATGTTATGGTAATGAATCCTGCACTGGGTTATATGTTATGGTAATGTACCCTGCACTGTATTATATGTTATGGTAATGAATCCTGCACTGGGTTATATGTTATGGTAATGTACCCTGCACTGTATTATATTTTATGGTAATGGGCCCTGCACTGTACTATATGTTATGGTAATGAATCCTGCACTGGGTTATATGTTATGGTAATGAACCCTGTACTGTGTTATATGTTATGTTAATAAATCCTGCACTATGTTATATGTTTTGGTAATGAACCCTGCCCTGTGTTAAATGTTATGGTAATGAGCTCTGCACTGTGTTATATGTTATGGTAATGAGCCCTGCACTGTGTTATATGTTATGGTAATGAACCCTG